GAGCCATGCAGAAGTAAGCTTTCTTTTACCTATGACTTTAGGTCCAGATAAAAGAAATCGGCATGTTTTCTTTAGTGCAAAGCTACCCAATGGACTATCTACGCTTTGTCCATTGCGGGGAATCGAATTCCGGATTTTAACGCTGTAAGTCCGTAAGCTTACCACTGACTCACACTTTATTTGGAATAAAAGAAAGGGACTAAATGTTATTATTACATAAAATCCAGCTTGCTATCCCTACCAGTGGGCCGAGCGCGGCCAGACGCATGTCGTGTTGAAACTTTGAGGCTGTGAATGTGTTCTAAGAGTTGGCCGTGGGTGGTGTTGATTAACTGTTTTCCATCTAAATTATCACTCCAAATTTGTAGACGGCTAATGCAGATAGCCATCGAGTAGCTTTGCGCGAAATTTAACAAAAAACAATCTATAGAAGTATCTTAACCTTTTATAAAACAAACAAGTACTAAATATTTCGTTTGATTGTTTGTTTTGAATTTCGCGCAAAGTTACACTAGGGCTATCTGCGCTAGCCGTCCCTAATTTAGCAGCTAGTCATCACCACCCACCGCCAACTCTTGGGCTAATCTTTTACCAACGAATAGTGGGATTGACCGTCACATTATAACGTCCCCACGGCTGAAAGGGCGAGCATGTTTTTTGGCGGGACGGGGATTCGAACCCGCGACCCGCAGATTGCGAGTCGAGTGCCGTCACCACCTGGCTATGCCGGGACATTTTGTTTTAACAAAACTTACCAATTTTTCATCAGTTTAGTTTGACATTTAAAAGCTTTACCTTTTATAGATAAACTTATAACTCCAGGAATTTTACTAAAATTGAATTATTCGTAAACGTTTTTGTGGTAATTCCTAAACGCTCTGCTCATTATTAAGAATTTTGACATGATAAAGTTAATATAGCCGTGTGTAAGAAAAGGGGGAAATAAAGTATAATAAATATAACTATTCAATTCGTAGATATTATATATATAACCTACAATAAAGGAAGTTCTGTAAAAACTGGACAAAATTCAATGAACAGTTAGTTTTGTTGAAGCACGGTTTACAATAATCCAACAGTAGTAGTGTATTATATACTCTAAACTGTTTTTGTATTTATTAATCTAAAGGAACTACGCCTAACCTAAAGTGACTTCATTATTCCATTGAATTTTATAATTAAAAGCATTACAGGCTGCAAAAATCGAAAGCTCTTTGATAACCATAAAAAACAGCATATAAGTTTATGTATTTAGTTTTTCTAACCCAAGTACATGATTGTTTATTATGCTTGAAGACAACCTTATGAAACATGCTAAGGCTTACTTGAAGAAATTAGATAAATAAATAAATTACTTGACCTCAATTTAGCAATCGGAATGGGTGAGAAATATATACTGCACATATGTTTGCATTCCAAACATAAGTCAAAACCGTCACAGTCAAAGTCTAACATCTGGGATAATCACGCCACCCAGACCACCCCAGCAGGCAGATTTTATTGCCCAATTGGATTAGCTTCCAAATCTTGCCCAGGGATAGCGTTTGACAAACAATGCGACTTCTATCTTACTAGGATAGCTTTCAACAGCTCAAAAAAATAAAATAAGTTTAGCAAAAAATGGAAAAGTTTCATAGAAATTTAAAAGATTTTATGAAAAATGAGAAAAAAAGCTTTCAGCTTATAATTCGAAAAATCTGGTTTCGATACTCGCGGTGAGCACAGCACAAATAGCTCATTGTATAACTTTGTTCCTGATAAACAAGCAGAAAAAAGTGTTTTCGGACCGAATTCATAATTAAGTTTTAGCGAAAAAGTTAGCACTTTTAAATTATAACTTATACACATACAAAAACAACTCATAATTTTGTGAAAGATTACTAAAGTTTATAAAATAATTCTAAATATTAGACAAAATTATATACCAACTAGGACGAACATGATAAGCTTTCTATTGAAAATCTATTTCCTTGATGTATATGATTTTAAAAATTAACTACACTAAAATCACTTAGTTCTGAGCTAAAAATGTACTAGAACATTAATTTTTAATATTTTCTCTTGATTCAATTCTGCTGAGCTATAATTTCAACGAACTATTATTATTATTTAATAGTTCTTATCTGCTCTGGATTAAATTACGGTGTAAACCAAGATGTCTTTTTATGGTTTAATACTTCCTCTTTTCTCTATATTTAATCCAACTGATGTATCGATACATAAAATATCACTTCTCAGACTTTATTCACTGTATTTAACTGTGATAAATGCTTACTTTTCAAGAATAAATATCTCCTCCCTTGTCTGGTTTGAGACTTCCATAGCTTTACTTACAATCCAGCATTAAGTTAAATATTTTTTTATTTCTCTTTCTCTCTGTCTGGACTGACTTCTTCAGAACTTTTTAACCTCACGTTATACTTTAGGATTAACTATTCATGCCATCTTTCTTATCCGCGTCCTTCAAAAATGAATATGACCTAACTGTCATTTTATTATTTTTCTTTCTTCTAAAGTAGAGAAACAAATTGTATTACTGTATTTAATTCTTGGATGTCTATTTATGTTTGTATTTCTAATTGTTTCACTGACACAAGCCTTTTTGCTTCATAGAATAAAAGTAAAAATATATAATAGGGAATTCTGTCAATTCAAGAGATACCAAGAAATCGTTTTATAACTTAGTTTACATATTTTTGAAAGAATGAATCATTATTTTAGTCAAAAGCGGAATATAAAATTTTTGTTAATTTACTTTATCACATGAATGGATTTTGAACGTGTTTTATAATATTATAGATAGATATTTAAACGTATGTCTGTCTGATCATACAGAAAATATCAGGGATTTTATGCAAAAAGAAAAGAAAAAAAGAAAACTTAAAATTTGAAATTCTTGATAATAATGTGAAAATGAAAATAAATTATTTAACTCTATCCACACTTACGAAATAATGTCTTCCATCAAAATGTACTTAATATAAAATATAAGTGTTGGGCTAACAAATCCTGTTAATTATAAATTATGGTATCACCCAATAAGTACTCAACTAATGAAGATTCTTATTTTCAATGAAAGCCTTTCCACTGCTCATAACATTTCTAATCAAACACGCACGTGCTAACTTAAACATGTATTCTTGACACTGCACGCTACAAGAAAATACTCATACTGGGCGAAAACATTTTGGTGTTTATTCGAATACAAGCTTTTTATGTTGATTTGACCGTCACTCTTTTAACACACCCACAAAATGTAGTGCGCGTTTTTGTGGCAACGGGTTGCGAGACATAAACCATTGGATTCGCAGTCCAAGTACGCTCACCACTAGACCACGCCCATTTTCTAATAGTACGCCAAAACATGTAAACATATCACAATAAAAAAATAATAATCCATGGTCAGTATGTAAACTATATTTCATCATTGGTTAAACAAATTTGGAATAAATGAAGATACCTTTTTTTATATGTGTATCATTCTTAGATAGGTATAATAATTCTTTATGCCAAAAGCTTACGTTGCATGAAAGAACTGACTGTAGCAATAATCTTTTAAATATAGAGTTGTACTCAATAAGTTTTTTTACGTATATACGCCCCCTGGTAGCTCAGCGGTAAGTCTGAAGGCTTATAAAGCTAAAATTCGAGTTTCGATACCCTCGGTGGACAGATAACCCATTGTGCAGTATTGCACTTAGCGATAAAGAAACAAATATTTCAGTGTGTTATAGGACAGCTTTGAGACACCGTCCGACCGAGGAAAGAATGCGAGTGTGCCAGAACTATTATTGTTTGTGTCAAAGTTCGAAAAAAGTGTGGATATTAGTTTGATTTGAACCAATATGCACGGTAGTGTGTGCTTATTTCTAGGACGTTTGTGCACGTTAGCACAAAGGCGGTCTTCGAAGTTTGTATTGAATAGTCATAAGTTCATGTTTATATTGAATGAGATATGAGCTCGTGATTTGAGAGATCATAACTCAACAATCGTCATATATTTGAATCTAATTTTATGTGACAGTGTCGTCATTTAAATAGAAGTATTTACATTAGTGAAAAAGATTAATATGCTAATAAGTTTTTGATTTTTCATTTACACTGAGAACAAAAGTGCGAGCTTCTAATATTCACTCGAAAACTATTATCCAGAGTGAAGTGTTTCAGGTCTGTTTCATTTATGTCACGTTAAAAATTCAGTTAAAAAAAAGAGTTTTAAATATTTCGTAAAAGTTCTTATTCATCAAATTTTCAAGTATAATTCCCCATTCCCTCCCTCGCCGATAACTCAGCGTTAAATTTAAAAGATCCCTGTGGTGGCCACCACCCCGTAGATAGCTCATTGTGTAGCTTTGCTCTTAAACAAACAAACAAAATAGTTCTATTATGTTTTTCTTAACTAACACAGCACGATGTTAGGGTTTCTATTTAATACTTATAAAACTAACCAAATAACTGGGGGTGGGGGAGTATGGCCTAAGTAAATGAACAAAGAGTATTATTCACCCGTGAATAAGTTATTAAAACACCCAAGTCCAAGCAATGTTTTTTGTTTTCTGTTACTTGATTAATACTTTTTAAAAAATGCATTTCTTCAGAGATTTATTAAACATGTTTATTCAGTTAATTCTCTCAGAGATTATATTAAAGTGATACTTTGATTACATGTTAAATCTTAAATCATCCTTTAACAACATATAACAAAAATCAGCAGTTCAAATATTGCTTTGATCCTTAACCCTAGTCCATGGTAATTCATTACAACAAGTTTACAGAGAAGAAGGCTAACTGTCGCCTCACGTTTTTCTCACTTTAATGTTTACGTAGAGTACTCATTTTCTCTCCCACATCGTCACTGGAGCCCTTTGTATAAACACTCATAGTAACACTTGTATTTGGTTCAAGCACATGCATGTTGTGAAAGAAAACTGGATAAGAGCCACACCTAAAACTGGGTTGATCTTGATTTTTGACGCCCCTTTTATATGAAGTCAGGGAACAGAACTGTCATTTCTGAAATGCTTCTTCCATTTCATTTTAAATTTACTTATTTAAACATACAAGTGTTAGACTATAATGAAAAGCAATAACAAATCTTTGAGCTTTCTAACAAGTCCGAAGTAATTTTTTTCATTTTGGAATAAGTGGCAATTTACTTTTATAAACCAGCATTACATATAGTTTGTAGAAAGAGACTAAAAATCCATTTGCAAATTGACTCAAATAGCGACTGCTACTAGTATAAAATATAATAGCTTGACCTATTCAACTACGCCGTTCAATAGACTATCACTATCTGTAACTCCGTTTTAATGGGGGAGTTAGAGCAGTTAAGACTTCTATATTTCTGATGCCCATTCTTCACTTGAGTAAAGTATTATGCATGGTAACTCAGTACACTCAACACAGAATGGGTAATGTACAGTGCAGCCTTCTAAGCAAACTCTGGTAATACAGTACTTATCTAACACGGCCAATGTCCTCGGTTTTAAAGGAACAATTGTAGGTGGCCATTTGCAACAGAGATCTCATATAAAACATTGTAACAAAAACACTTTAAAGTACATTCCTTAAAAAAAAGCATGTTTAAAGATGATGTGTATTTGTCCCAGGCTACACTAGACAGTAATACACTCATATAGTTTATTCTGTAGTACACCCATATATAGTTTATTCTTTAGTACACTCATTTAGTTTATTCTGTAATACACTCATATAGTTTATTCTGTAATACACTCATATAGTTGTTCATGGTTTCGAGTTTACTAACTTAAGCTAGATACTTCTGCCCGCCTTCAAGTTAACATAAAAAACGTGTTTAGGTCCTACGTGGTTCGAATTACTGAATTATGTTAGTAATCACGAATTTGATATTGTATGGGTAGAGGAAGCTCTTCTTAATCCAAACAAGAAATCAAATTACCAGGTTATTACTTTATCATGAAGCATACAATTTCCACAAATTGAATGAGCAAATGATCTTTGTTACGAAAAATATAACGTTAGTAAAATATCAATTCAATATTAGTACTACCTAAGAACACTTAAGTATTAGTTTCTAAATGTAACAAGAAAATATCATTGCTTCTAGTAGATATTCTTCTTCATTGGTTGTCCATGCTCAGATTTGAAACAACCTCAGCCAGCAAAATAGCAATATAATTATTATCGGTGGCTTCAGCAACAAACATAATGAATTTAACTGCGTAACACTAGGAACTGTATTCTGCTTAAATATGTGAATGATTTGATACGGTTAAATAACAATGCACCTACACTCATGTAGTTGATTCTGTAGTACAGTCATGTAGTTGATTCTGTAGTACACTCATATAGTTGATTCTGTAGTACACTCATATTTGATTCTGTAGTACAGTCATGTAGTTGATTCTGTAGTACACTCATATAGTTGATTCTGTAGTACACTCATATAGTTGATTCTGTAGTGTAGTACACTCATATAGTTGATTCTGTAGTACACTCATATAGTTGATTCTGTAGTACACTCATGTAGTTGATTCTGTAGTACACTCATATAGTTGATTCTTATATGAGTGTACTACAGAATCAGCTATATGAGTGTACTACAGAATCAACTATATGAGTGTACTACAGAATCAACTATATGAGTGTACTACAGAATCAATTATATGAGTGTACAACAGAATCAACTATATGAGTGTTCTACAGAATAAACTATATGGGTGTTCTACAGAATAAACTATATGGGTGTTCTACAGAATAAACTATATGAGTGTATTACAGAATAAACTATATGAGTGTATTACAGAATAAACTATATGAGTGTATTTCAGAATAAACGATATGAGTGTATTACAGAATAAACTAAATGAGTGTATTACAGAATAAACTAAATGAGTGTACTACAGAATCAACTATATGAGTGTACTATAGAATAAACTATATGAGTATATTTCAGAATAAACTATATGAGTGTATTACAGAATCAACTATATGAGTGTACTATAGAATAAACTATATGAGTATATTTCAGAATAAACTGTATGAGTGTACTACAGAATAAACTATAGGAGTGTATTACAGAATAAACTATATGAGTGTATTACAGAATAAACTATATGAGTTTACTACAGAATAAACTATAGGAGTGTATTACAGAATAAACTATATGAGTGTATTACAGAATAAACTATATGAGGGTATTACAGAATAAAATTTGAGTTTACTAAAAAATAAACTATATGAGTGTATTACAGAATAAAATTTGGGTTTACTACAGAATAAACTATATGAGTGTACTACAGAATAAACTATATGAGTGTACTACAGAATCAACTATATGAGTGTACTACAGAATAAACTATATGAGTATATTACAGAATAAAATTTGTGAATTTACTACAGAATAACGTATATGTTCTGTTGACAGAGCTCAGTGTGTAGCTCATTTGAGGTAGGAAAACTTTTATATTTACATCATTGTTTAAATATTAATCTTTTTACAGACGATTACTCTTTTTCTAACAGATATATATCCTTGATGGTGTAGTTGATTTAAATGCCATTGATTTACTAATTGATTACAGATTGATTACCACTCAGTATGTAAATTTAGTGCCATATGGAGCTGTATCATAAAGTCTGATACAGCAACCTCTTAAACATAATATTTATTGAATTCGTTTGAAGATTAGTGCAAAATATGTAGAAGCAAGGCAAATCCAACTAAACCAAATATTTTTCATTTTCACAAAGCTCACACTAACCTTAAAACCAGCATTACTTTACATAATACACAAATTCGTGTTATAAGCTCTGATAAATCCTTAAGCTTTAAGTCACATTTCTCGACTCATATGTCAGTGCTAATTACAATATAATTGAGTTAGTGAACTATGCTGTTATTGCTATCGGTAATGCTTGTCGAGCTTGATTTTTTATTTTTTTGTTAATCCTAACACTACTTAATACATTTTACACATCCAGTTATTTTTGTCACACAGTACTGAAATGATGTATTTAACTTTGCCCAGTAGGGAAGGCATTAATTGGCACACACTCATTGTTGAGAAATACACTGATGCACAGTCTTTTTTCATATAATGGAGTATAAAAGGAGAGTATATTACAGTATGCATCATATAATTTGAGACAAACAGACAAATTAGTCAAAACATGACAAAGATCATTATAAATTGCACTCCATCCTATGTTGTGATAAAAACTTTTCCAACAAAATTAATCATGCTTAAAGGAATATAAACAGAAAAGTCTACATCCAAAGTTTCGCCGGGCGTTATGTATTACAGCAGATACTTCAATGAATAAGATTTATATATATATATATTTATATAATGGATGTTAATTTGATATTAGTAAGAGGGCGGGCATGTCGGACTGTGTATCTGAAGGTCAACGGTTCGTATCACTTTACCGCAAAGTCGCGCTCCGCACTTTGGTGCAGTGGTGCGTCATAAAAGTGATAGTCAAATCCTACAGATAGATTATAATAACTCAAGAGTTGTTGAATCCTGTTGAATAATTGCCTGCTCTCTAGTCTATAATCACGTTATAGTTATGAGTTTGATGTTCTCACTTTATATTTTGTTTTTTACTTGTGTGTTGTGTATTCATTTTAAGTTTTTAACTCTGATCACGAGTTTGATGTTCTCACGTTATATTTTGTTTTTTACGTATGTGTTGTGTATTCATTTTAAGTTTTTAACTCTGATCACGAGTTTGATGTTCTCACGTTATATTTTGTTTTTTACGTATGTGTTGTGTATTCATTTTAAGTTTTTAACTCTGATCATGAGTTTGATGTTCTCACTTTGTATTTTATTTTTTACTTATGTGTTGTGTATTTATTTTAAGTTTTTAACTCTGATCATGAGTTTGATGTTCTCACTTTATATTTTATTTTTCACTTATGTGTTGTGTATTCATTTTAAGTTTTTAACTCTAATCATGAGTTTGTCATAAAAGTTTACGTTTTTGTTTTTTAATGATTTTGCTTTCAGGTCATGTAGTATGAACTGGTATAACATCTTTAATTTCATCATATGTAAAATAAGTTGTTTGTTTTCTCACAAAGCCACCTGTTCACCGTGAGAATTCGAACCACAGATTTTAGTTGTAAGTCCATAAACTTACCGTCGAACCCATCGGGAGACAATTTATCAACATACAAACACCTTCAGCTGCCTTACAAATCCAAATATTATTGACACCCGTTTTATTATACATATTATTTGCAAATCAACTGAATTTATCAATTAGATTATAATTTAAAAATAAGCTTCAATGTGTTACTCTTGTAACTAATATTATTAGTATCTGCGAATAACTTAGAGTCATATAGTTTGTTATTATTGGTGAATAAGCTTGGATATTACAGTTTTATGATTATTTACAAATAAACCGAAATTTATTTGCTAAATAAATTATTTTACAGTGAAGGAAGCAGTGACCATATTTAATTTCTTGAGAAGAAAAACAACTCTGCAAGTCTTTTATTACTAACTTTGAAATATGTAGTTGAAAGACTTATTTTATTTTACATAGGAACTGGAAACGCACGTGAGGACAGAAATGGATCAAGATTTATCGTTGGTAAAATTAACTCACAGAAGGCGCATCAAAAGCAAGCAGTTACTTCCCCTCACCCTCCCATAGCAGAATTAGGACCAGCAACCAACCACTGCGTGCATCAACGCTGTAAGCTCTGGTTATAAAAAGTTGGCTGAAGGAAGAGATCAAGAACAAGGCCAAAGAAACTGCATACTGATCACTAGTGTTCTGTAAAGTACAGATAGATAGGAAGTCCTCTAAAAAAATTCAGTCATGAAAAAGTGGCTCTATGCTCTTTTACTGTTCGCTTTTACTGGCTGCACTGTCGCAAATTTGGTGAACATTCAAGACTGCGGTAAGTTTATATACATTTTGTTGTTTCTGGCTTTAAATTATGTTTGAATTTCTTTATTTCGATTCATATGTAAGACATAAAGTATGTAATGTAAAACAAGTATTTTCGTGTTCACTTAGTAAAGTCAAGGTGCTTCCTGACGTACTGAAACAAACAACAGTGATTACAATATATACTGTAAATAAAACTTATAATTATAAGCTATTTTCATATCATTCACAACCAACGACTGTAGAAAAACACATTGCCGTTTTGAATAAACTCTCTTATTATTTTACCTTAATTGAAAATCATACACTGCTTTTGTTTAAAAGTACGTTAGGATTCTAAACCTCCAAGTAGAAATCCCAAACTATTCGTATTGTGCAATTAGTAAATAAAAATTACCTGATTAACTCAAGCTGAACAGTTGAATTTGAAATCTACTGTTTAACGTATAATACAAGTGCTAGCAGAGTAACAGTATATATCAATTAGTGCATATTTAGCACTGAACATCATAGAATGTAATAAGTCATACTGAATAACAGAATGGAAAACTTAATATATAGCTCACAATAACAGATGTGTAGTAATGTATAGCATTGCTTAGATGGTAATATGTAAAACAAAAAATAATCGAGTTCAGAATTTAGTTTAAGCATGAAACAGCTTAAAGTTAATTTTGTGGAACCGAATATCAGAGTTTACAACTCAATATAGTAAAATTACAACAAAATAACATAATTTAAAACTCAGTGGAAAATTATCTTAATGCGGTGTAAGGAAAAGCATGATTTCTTTAAGATTGTATTTTGTGGAAAGCTAAATATAAATTATTTTTCTGAAATTAATTAAAACTAACATCATCATTATCGAAAACACGTTAGGTAAAATTATCTTTTTCAGGAAAATGATAGAAAATGTCTCGTTGATTTAACGAAATACTGAATTAATTCTGATAACCAAGTTATAGTAAGATTTTGGTTACCTAGAACTCGTTAGTATGCTTATCATGCTATGTAATAATACTGTTTGATGTTGATAATTTTTCAACGTTCCTATTTCAGGTGGAATTTTGAGATTCAATTGTTCATCATTACAAAACTGTCCTGTACAGTTCGATCTAAATAACTGCAACAATCCAAGCAGATGTCTACTTCAAAGAGGAACTAAGTACGATATAAACGTCCGCTTCAAGTGGGGTGCGTTAGTCATTCTATATATTTACAGCGTGTAACTTAAGTAAATGTGGTGCGTTAGTTATTCTATGTATTT